ATCAGTATGCTTCGTTCGGTTACGTATTGCTTACACTGAGCAACCTCTACCATCATACACTAACAGCCTGCACTACCATCCTACACTAACAACCTGCACCTACCACCATCCCTACACTAACAACCTACACTACCACCATCCTCACTGAACAACCTACACACCACCATCCTACACTGAACAACCTACACTACCACCATCCTACACTGAACAACCTACACTACCACCATCCTACACTGACAGCCTACACTACCACCATCCACACTGAACAACCTACACTACCACCATCCTACACTGAACAACCTACACTACCACCATCCTACACTAACAACCTACACACTACCACCATCCTACACTGACAACCTCACTACCACCATCCCTACGCTGACAACCTCACACTCACCATCCCTACACCTGAGACAACCTGCCACCACCGTCCTGCACTGACAGCCTACCTACCACCATCCTGCCACTGAACAGCCTACACCACCATCCTACACTGAGCAACCTACACACTACCACCATCCTCACACTGAACAAGCCTACACTACCACCATCCCACACTGAACAACCTGCACCACCACCATCCTACACTAACAACCTACACTACCACCATCACACGACAACCTACACTACCACCATCCTACACTGAACAACCACACTACCACCATCCTACACCTAACAACCTGCACTACCACCATCCTACACTAACAACAACCACTACCACCATCCTACACTGACAACCCTACCCTACCACCATCTACACTGAACAACCTACACCACCACTATCCTGCACCATCCTGCACCACCACACCATCCCTACTGACAACCTACACTACACCACCATCCCTACACTGAACAACCTACACTACCACCATCCACCACTGAACAACCTGCACCACCACCATCACCGCTAACAACCTACACACACCATCCCACTGACAACCTACACTACCACCATCCTACACTGACAACCTACACTACCACCATCCCTACACTGACAACTTACACCACCATCTACACTGACAACCTACACTACCATCCTACGTGACCTACTACCACCATCCTGCCTGAACAACCTGCACTACCTGCATCCTACACTGAACAACCTACACTACCACCATCCTACACTAACAACCTGCACTACCATCACCACACTGAACAACCTACACTACCACCATCACTGTCAACCTACACTACCACCATCTACACTGAACAACCTACACTACCACCCATCCCACGCTGAACAACCTACACTACCAGCATCCTACACTGACAACCTGCACTACCACCCATCCCACTGGCAACCTACACCACCATCCCTACACTGAACAACCTACACTACCCCATCCTACACTAACAACCTGCACTACCACCATCCTACACTGAGACAACCTACACTACCACCATCACACTGAACAACCTACACTACCACCATCCTACACTGACAACCTACACTACCACCATCCTACACTGAACAACCTCACACCACCACCATCCTACACTAACCCAACCTGCACTACCACCATCCTACACTGACAGTTTTGGTGTTTGTGGGTTTTGACAACCTACCTACCATCCTACACTGACATCTTTTATGGTATTTTGGTTTCATTGGTTTCAGGTGCAGAATACAGGCCCATGTCTCAGTGTTATTCACACACACACATGAAATACCTCTCTCTCTCTCTCTCTCTCTCTCTCTCTCTCTCTCTCTCTCTCTCTCTCTCTCTCTCTCTCTCTTTCTCTCTCTCTCTCCTCTCTCTCCTCTCTCTATAAGCACTGAAATACCTCTCTCTCTCTCTCTCTCTCCTCTCTCACACACACACAGATTAAGACTCATCAGGAACATGGTAGGGAGCCGACAAATGCGACAGAAACTCCGTAAAAGAATTTATCTTTCTTTGTAGGTTGGCCACAGGAACTAATGAAGGGCCTCTTACTCACGTATATCCCCCTCCCCGAGCAGCAGCCAGCAGGCTTATTCCACAGAAGCACCAGCGATACAGAGTGTGATCACCCATGTACACCGAACGTTTCCAGCCCCAAAGGGATTTGGTCCGGGGACGTTTTCTATCACAACTTCTTACTATTATACGTTTCTCCCCCTGGCTTCTTACTATTAAAACGTTTCTATCCACAGCTTCTTCTTACTATTAACGTTTCTATCGCTTCTTACTATTAAACGTTTCTATCAGCTTCTTACTATTAAACGTTTCTATCTGAGTTCTTACTATTGGCGTTTCTATCCACAACTTCTTGCAGTAACGTCTTCAACCCTTAGTCTTTATATATTGTTTCGTATAAACGTTTTGCAGAGACGTTTACATAATGCTCCTACGGTACTTTGATACCTCAGCAACAAACGGTTTTAGAGACGTTTTACTCATTA